TGTTGTAATTCAGGAGACCTCTAGTCTCATCTGTATAAGAAGCTTTTTTTCTGTGTAGTATACTTGTTTCTGACTTCTGTGTCATAGTTATAAGAACTGGCACTTCAAGGCTGTCTACAAAGGCCTCAGTGAACTCGAAGTTCTCTTTCATCCAAAAAAACATCTCATGTCTTTCACTATCCGTTTAATAACTAAAACTCCCTACACTGAATAGCTGGGTAAGGGAGGAAGTTAAACTAGTTTGCAGAGACAATAGCAACTGAGATCGGAACTCTGTAAGAACAGGGTGAGGAAGAGGAAGGAAGAAAGGAGGAAGAAAGGCATCAAGTTGCCTGTGATGGCTTGCTTGTATGTTGTAGCAACAAACCCTGTTTGCTTATACAGAAGCAATAAGACAAAATTTATTCCCCAATAATCTTACAGCCATTAATGCCCACCCACCCCCCACCTCTCTAGGGCTGAAAATGGTAAAGGAAGACAGCTCCCTTCATGGTCACTCCTTCTTTGGCCAGTGGCTGTGGTCCTCACACCTTCTCCAACCTCATGTAAAGGATGAGAAAACTGGACTTCATTGTCACCCCATGGCACTCAGTCCCAGACACTTGGAAGAATAAAACGGAAGTCTCGTATTTTTGTCCATAAACCATGGATAAACGATCTGTCAAGTAAACATGAGGTCTCTGCTTTCCCCATTCTGGGTGACAGTGATGAGTCTCACAGACAACACTAAGCTGCTGTGAAGGACCCAAAGGACCAGAGTCCAGGAGAGAATGATTCTTAACGACAGAAATAAGCCAGGTGGGCATAAATCAACATAGTGACCTTACTCCCAATGCTACGCTTAGGTTCCATAACAAAGCCCGTGGATGGGCCCCTCAGCAGATCTAACTCAATGTGAGCCTCCAACTAAGTGCCCCTCTTAACAAAATCTGAAGAGACCATCATTTTTATTCATGTTTCTACTTTCATCAAGGGACTAAACTGAAGCCTCTTAATAGGCTGTGGGCAAATGACTTATATCCACTCTATCATTCAACATTCTCTATCTATCTATCTGTCTATCTATCTTTCTGTGTGTGTATGTGTGCATGTGCACATGTGTGCATGTGCGTGTGTGATTCCCCATAGACTAAAAGTAAAAAGCATTCACTAGCTCATTGTGTAGTAAATATTCTTTGCACCATATCTCAGCTCTGGTGGAAGTTCCCAGCTGGGACAAAACAGCATCGTGTTTCTCAAATGCACCTGACTTAAAGGCAAAGCACAGATGTGTTAGAAATGGGATGAACAGCAAAGATCCACATGCCCTGTCTTCATTCCACAAAGGAAGACCCAATTGTACTGTAAAGGAAGCTTGAACCAAATCTCAGCCCAGAAAAATCTCTGGAACATTATCTGCTGTACTTTCTGAGCTAATTATGGTGATTTGGGCTCGTTATTAATTGCATTTGGAATGCTGATCTTCTGAAAGTTGGATATTCAATCAGAAATAGATTATTTCCTTTCTAGAAAACCTAAACTGTGCAAATGCATGTTTGGAAACATGCTAATGAAGACAGCACTCATGGGACCTCACAAACTCAATACAGCTCCCATTCACCACAGACTGATATCTTCCTTTAGGCAGGATGGAAGGTGGGCTTCTACAGACTGACTGCATTCAACATGCAGACTCATGTCAGCCTATACAGGTGCAAGGTACTGAAACAGCCTACACCTCTCTCAAAGAGATTTGTGAGTATACTGGTGAGTAGGAAATCGGGTGACTTTGGAATGAATAAAGACCCTGGAGGAAAAGAAAGAAGGAAGGTGAAAAGGAAACTACTCTGGTAGAGGAAGCCAACGGCCTGGGTCTGCCTCTGCTCTGCCTGTTTGAGGTGTGGAGGCCCCGAACAAGCTGTTTATCCTTTTTCTGCATCCTAGCTTTCCCAGCAGTAAGACAAAACTCTAATGTCTGCAAACATAGTTGCTTGAAGAACAAATGACATCATTTGTTAAAAGTGTTCTGTAAACTGAAAGGTGCTACACAAAAGGTGAAGACGGCCTTTCTGGAACCCTACACTGAAAGCGCAGCTTTTTAAAGAATCCAGCTCCAGTTCCGAGGTTTTACTTATTTCTTAAGTGTATTAAAGTGCCTGAAAATAGCCACAGATCCATTATTCACTGAATACCGACCAGATCTTTGTCTGGCTGGATACACCCATCTGGCATCACTCCCTCACACTCATATAGTCTTTCAGTTCCTGGAGAAAGCAGAAAAGGAAAGCAATATGCTACACGCTTGAGAAATAGAAAGGAAACAGGAATATGGGTGTCCATTCTGGGGCCATGTTATTGAAGACCGTCTTCTTCCAGCCTTGTTTGTACTTTGTAGCTTGTAACTTAAGTCTAGAATTGCATGATGAACAGAGCCTTGGGTCCCCTCCAACCCCACCCATCCACCTGTTCATCATCCATCCAAACATCAATCTATCCATCTATCCATCCCTCTACCTAACTCTCCTCCCTCTTTAATCCACCCCTATCTCCACTCATCCATCCAATTCATCATCCATTAAATAATGGGTTCATGAGCGACTACAGTTTGCTGGGTACTTCCTGTGGCACTGGAGTACAGTAATGAGCAAGACAGGGAAGTGCCTGAGCATGAAGCTCACATGCTAGTAAAGGAGGCTGGCATCAAATGTGATATATAAGTAAGTAAGATGATTTCAGATTGCAACAACCACCAGAAAGACCCCTAAGCACATGATACATTCTAGAAACTGACAGAGACAGAGAAATGGATTCTTTAAATAGGGCAAGAAAGCCCTTTCAAAAGCGGTTACTAACATGTGGCCCGAGAGTCAAATGGTAGACAAGAGACAGGTTGGTTTTTGTGTGAATAGTCATCACAAGCAGCTCAAAGTACTCTGAGACAAAAACAACGTGAGTTATTTACAAAAGAGGAGGAGGAGGAGAAGGGGAAGAGGAGAAGGATAAGCCACTGCCCAAGTACTCGACCATCAGAACTGGGAAGGTAGTACAATGAGAGAAGTCAGAGAGGTGGACAAGGTCACGTCAATGACCGCTCTCTGTATGGGAAGAAAGTAGGACCCAGAGAAGCTAAGTGAACAGCCTGAAGTCACACAGCTAGTTAACTGCTACAGCTGGCTCCAGATCCTAATCCCTTTCTATCCCCAGATGTTGAGTTCTCTACACTGCATTGATCCACTTGCCTCAAGCCATGAGAACCTTCTGTGTTAATGTTTCTGGATCTTAAAAGCCTTTAACATACTGTAACAGCAAGCAAATGCTGTGGGATGTCTTTCCAGATACTGTGAACATGTGTTGCTCTCATTGGCTAGTAAATAAAGCTGCACTGGCCTATGGCAGGGCAGGATGGAGCCAGGCAGGAAAATCCAAGAGAGATAGGGAGAGGAGAAAGGAGAGTGGGGGAGACACCAGCCGCTGTTGTCTCCCAAAGAGCAACAAGATGCCAGAAGACCAATAACACCATGGCCGTGTGGCAACATATAGATGAATAGAAACGGGTTAAGTTATAAGAGCTAGCTAACAAGAAGCCTGACCCATAGGCCATACAGTTTGTAAATAATATAAGCCTCTGTGTGTTTACTTGGGACCAAGTGGCTGTGGGACATGGGTGGAAGTGATTCATCTCGACGTGGGGCCGGGCAGGACCTGAGAAACTTCTGACTACAAGCAAATTCCAGTTAGGCAGGACAGCACCAGTAAATGATTCTGGTGACTTTGGATGCATCCCCCCCTCCTCTTCTAATCCCTCTCTCTCTTCATTCTCTTCCTTCTCTTTTTCCTCCTCCCAATAAGTTCTCACAGCCCCCGAGTGATGGAAGACTCCCCAGGCAAGAGTCAGATGTCCCAAAAGTTTATGAGACATGGGCTAGAAGAATGCTTAAGAGCCCAGACTCTAGTCCAGTCCCACCACTGACTAGCTACGCAACTCTGAGCAAGGTACTTGACCTCTCTATTCCTCGGTTCTCTCATTTTAAAAAGCAGCATAATACTTTCCTCCTAAGCTGTTTGTCAACATCAAGGAAATTAATATATGTAAAGTATTTGACCCATGTCTGGCACATAATTCTAAGACACACCCACTTTCCTCCTGCCTCTTAGCCAGACTCTGGTCACCTGCACCTTCAGAAACAAAAGGTGTGAACCAGGTCACTTCAGGGGAAGGCAGCTTCACAGTGTCCCAGCGACAAGCAAAGGCCAAATGGGACGGTAACACACCATCAAATAAGAACTGTACACGTGAAGCCTGGAGACTGTACTCTTCCAGAGTACCTGGGCTTAGCTCCCAGCACCCACACGGCAACTGGATAAGCATCCGTTACTCTAGTTCCAAGAGGCATCTGATACCTACTTCTGGCCTCCATGGACACTATGTGCATGTGGTACACAGATATACACAGGCAAAACACCCATACACATAAAACAAAATAGAGAATTTTTTTAATAATGAAAGCAAACCAGCAAGAGGGAGGGAGGAGGGCTGGGGTTGATAACTGAGGTGGGGGATATGAATATAAACAAAGTATAATGATGTATATGAATGAAGAGGCCATCTTGAAACCCTTTCTTCATATGGTAACTAAATTTTTAATTAAAAAAAAAAGAATTGTGAGAATAACTGAATGAAATAATGGACATGAAGCACCTGTCTTGCTGTGCTGGCTCAGGAAATGCTGTTATTTTTGTTGAGGTGTTTATTTTTAGCAGTCGTGGTTGTAACTGTAGAAGCTACTTGTATGCTTTTCCTCTCCGTATTGGGCTGTAAAATACGGGAAATTTGTGTGAAGTACTGGTCCCTGGGACACAAGAGGCTATTACAGAAATAAGTTTTCAAAGCCGAAGCCAGCATCAGAAAGACAGTCCCTCAATGCCCCTTCTACTAGAATTCCAGAAGCTATCTACCTACCCCTCCCCAGTCAACTGCCTGCCCCCCTGGGGACATCTCACCCTAGAATGTGTGTACTCCTTTCTCCACACCAGGCCTGCCCCAGGTGCATCCCAGTCCTTTGGAAGTCCCACCTGGGTGCTTTTTCCACAAATCCTGTTGATTTTAGGTCACCACGGCTTTTTAGTGCACCATTGTATCTGGTCCCCACAGTCCCATCACATGGCAATGGTAGCTCAGATCACGTGACTCCAGCTAAAACTATTCGGGACTTAAAATAAAGACCCCTCTTCCTGGATCCCAAACATAGCTCTATCACCACCACCACCAGGGCTTTGGGGCCAGAGCCTATAGATTTCCCTAGCCACACCCCACAGCACCTCTTTCTTACTTTCTCTCCCCTCCCAGCATGGGACACTACTCCCAGCTCATCAAATGTTCCTCCTGCTCTGAGACCTTTGCACTGCACTTCCCTCTACAGAAGGCAGATCCCCATCTCACCAGCCAGCTAACCCCTCTCTAGATGTCAGTTCAGTACAGGTGTCATTACCTCACAAAAACCTCCTGAGCATCCCCTCCCTCGGCCTTTGTCAATCTGCTTTGTTTTGTTTCAGACAGGATAGAAGCCCAGGTTGGCCTGGAACTCGCTGTATAACCTCATGTTCACTTCAAACTATTGGAAATCCTGGCTCCACTGGCATTACGGGGATGAACCACCACACCTAGCTTCAATCTTCTCTATCAGACTTTTTTTAAAGCCCCGTGGTGCTTACAGAACATGCTACACATTCAACTACTAACTCCTCCCTGCAGTGACTAATTTTGACCTGACACCCACACTGTAAATTCCAAGAAGACAAATATTTTGCCTGTCCTGTCTGACTATATTCCCAGGGCCAGGACTGTGCCTGATGGGAAGCATGCATTTGACAAATAAATATGTCCTGCAAGGATTAAAAGTAAAAGCCAAATCACACTTCTTATTTCCAGAGATGTGGAGACCAAACGGAAGGCTGGTGTTTCACCCAGTAAAGGTGTTTGCAAAATGAAGGGCAATGCATCTTCACTTGCTTGTCAGGTAGTCAATTCATAAAACATTCACTCCACAAATAACTTGCTTTCCTGGTTCCAGTCTGGGGAAGAGATGAAACGTACTCATAAAGAAATTTAAACGGAGGAACTGAGTGGGAATTAGATATGATCAAGATGCATTGTATGAAACTGTCAAAGTAAATAGCATATTCTTTAAAAAAAAAAAAAAGAATTTAAACACACACACAAAATGTTAACCCCAAGACCCACTCAAGCACTGCCTAGCCCAGTTCAGCCTATACATGAGCGAAGGGGTGACTGGACACACGGTTTCAACTTCTGTTCCCATATTGGCCACTAAGAGCCATAATATCTGTACATTAACATCAGAGGCAATAGCCAAGGCCAGGGGTGTGGTGCACCCACACTCCGGTCTTAATCCCTTTTACAGGAAGGGAAAGTGACCCCCACATTCCTAAAAGTATACCACAGCATTGTGTGTGGGGGCACACACTGTAGGTCACTCCGTGAGACCTTCCCAGACCCACCATTGTCTGTCGAGGAAAACCACTCCCCCACACCCTTTCTACAACCTGAGCCAAACTAGCGGGCACGGTTAGTAATAAGACAGAGGAAAGACGCTGGAGGCCCCGTGGGCTCCATTATTCTATGCGTCCTACGAGAGAAGGGCTACCCCGGGGACTGCTGCTGCAGATCGCAGCCTCAGATGCTGCCAAGAAACCTGTCCCCCTGAGGACACTCAGGGCCGTGCGGTGCAGCTCCAGGTCCAGTGAGAGGCACCCCACCCATCTGCCAGAGAGACAAAGATCACCAGAAACAAAGGACACACACACACAGAGGCACACACACACACACACACAGAGGCACACTCACAAAGTCCAAAGCAAATACCAACACTTGGTGAGATTTCAAAACAAACAGCCAGCTTGGTATATCTTTAAATAGACTGTGAAACCATCCTAGAGGGACAACGATTATGTGATCTTGACAGGCGCGATCTGGGCTCCGAACCCACGCTGCCTCCGCCCTCCTCCCACCCACGCTGCAGTTGCCAGGCGCATTTCCCAGCCTCAGGACGCGTGCTGCTGCCGGGAGCAAGCTCATCCACTCCTGCCAGTGAGGGACCTGCAGGTGGAGGAGAGCCAGGGTGGCCCGAAGTCGGCAATACCAACCTTTAGGATCCCAGTTCACCTGCTTTCTTGGCGTCTCGATTGGAAATTTCATTGCTCCGTTGCCCACAAGGGGATGAAATGAAAAGAATCAAAATAATAATAATAATAAAGTCTTCAAGATTTACAACTCTTCGGTTAAAACAGACCAACAGAACAATTTGTAAAAGTGGAGGAGCATTGGAGGGGCTCGTGGGGAGCCCCAGGGAAAGACAAGCGGGAAAATACTAGCTGAGGAGAGCACTGAGCGCTGGCTTGGGTGTTTGCACCGGTTAAGGAGGTGGCCAGCTGCTACCCTCGTGGGTGAAAGAAAAAGTAAGATCGGATGCTGAGGGTGGTTCCGAGAGGATGAAAGAGCGGGGTTGCTTCTGCAGAAGCGCGGTAGGCAGATGCAAAGCTGAGCAGCCGCAGGGCCGACGCCGGAGAGAAGCCCACCGCAGAGTCCCTCGGGTCCCCAAAGGCGTGTTCGTAACCCCTCTCTCGCGCACACACACACGCATACACATACACATACACACACAGGCGCGCACACACCCGGCCGCGCGCTCGGGCGGGCACATCAGCCTCGCTCGGCTGATCACAGAACACTCGCCCCACCCCAGCCGCGGCTCCTCGCCCCCGGGCGACGCCCCCCACTCCCCACCCGCTGAAAGCCATTGGACGGAAGGGTGGTGCGGCGCCCGGGGGAGCTAGCGGCTAAGCCGACCCTCCCCTCCCCGTTGGCGCTCTGCAGGTGCCGCGCCACTGCGGGAGAACGCGGGGCGCGTGTGGATCCCGACACCGGGTCTGGACGCTGGGTGGTGGCAGACCTGTCCTCCCCCGGGCTGCGCAGCGACAGCGAGCGGAGGGCGCGGCTGCTACTTACTGGCGCGGCCACAGCGTGCTCGGTGGAGTTGCAGCCGGAGACACGCTTGGCTGCCTGGAAGGCTCTGCAGGAGGCGGAGGAAAGGGCCTGCCGCGGCCCCACCGCAGACCTCGGCCTGGGGGGGTGACCTCCTTTTACCGCTTCCACCCCGGGTGCCTGCTCTCTCTCTCTCTCTCTCTCTCTTCTGTCAGTTCATTTTTGGTACTCCACTCCCTGCTTCCCAGCGTGGTCCTCTGGCCTGAGTCCCGAACCCATGTCCCCACTCCGCTCCTGAGTTGAGGAGGCTAGTACCAGCCATGAGCCTTTTGTTCTGGGACCGCTTGGTATCTCACCACTGCGATCTCACCGCACCTAGTTCCCCAGACACAGCTTGGTCCCCTCCCCAGCTACCTGTAGCCGGACTGGGGCTCATGCTTGGAGGCTAGGGAGATGGGTCGGGGAGAGGCACCGAGGCCCTGGAGGAAAGTCGAGTTGCTAAGGCTTGGCGACTCTGAGAAGCTAAAGAGGTGGCCCAGGGAGCCCTTGAGAAACTGCACCAATGGTGAGTGCAAGAAGACCTCAGCCGTGTTCTCAGAGAGTTAGGGCGACGCCCCACCCCCACGGGGCTAAGTCTCCAGAAAAGGCCAAGGGTGCTGGGGTGCTCTTGAAAGAGCCACCCAAGTATCAACATGAATTCTGCTTACAAGTTCCCCAGGATACCTAACAACAGAGTCTTGCACATAATAGATGCTCAAAAAAAAAAAAATGTTTGCTAAAGGAAGGTATGATTAGCACACTGTGGTGTTCCATAGGAAGTTCAACTCAGTACTACCTTTGTCTGTAAGATTACCTAAGTCCATTCTCCAAGCCCTTCTGTGTACCATTACTGTGCCAGGTGCTGGCCACCTGACAAAGAGTAAGACTGAAGTGGACCTTTCCTTCATAGAACTAGCGTCAGAAGGTCCGGTTGATTGCTGAAGAGAAAGTGGTAACTCTCCTGTTCCCGAGTCAGCCAGCTGTGGTCCTAAAACCATACAACAGCCTGGCACTCAAGGTACCTTGAGGATCAGGAAAGGCCTGGGTCATCTCATCCTCCCTCCCCTCCCCACGTCCGCCCCCGCTCCCACCCCCCACCCCCCCCCCACTCCCCACCCCGCTACACACATACATCTAGGTCTTTAAGCCCAAGGATAAGCTCTATGGAGACCCACTGTGGCAAAGGTTGGGAAGTGCTTTGTCACGGACTTCACACCCAACTGGAGCCTCGAGTTCTCTGCAGACCGCTTCAAGGAAAGCTGGCACCACCACCACGGTGGGGTGCTGCTCCGCCTCCTAGGCCCTTTGGATGGCTTCCCCAGGTGCATCAGAGCTGCCTCCTCTGGGCTGTTTCCACACTTTCCTCTCCTTAGACTGTGAGGACCAACCAGGCTTGAAAATAAGGCAAATTCAATTTCTGCATCCCCCAGTTTGTGAGCCCCAGAGACTCCGGTATGAGTAGGAATTCCTTACCCAAGCCTCCAAAAGGGAAAGGGGGGTCTCGGAAGCCCTTTCAAGCCTCACTCTGCCCTCTCATCCTGCATCTCCATGGGAGTCAGTGAGGATCAACCGACAAGTACACCTTCTCTCATCCCCTCCTCTGTTAGCTTCCTCCATCTCTCCGAGGATGCCTTCCCTGACCTCTTCTTTACAGAGGAGAATATTTCTGCTCAGGAGGATAAAGAAACACTCCCAAGGTCACAGAGGGGAGATCAAAACCCCAAGTGTATCTGACCCAAAGACCCATAGTTTCTATACCAAAACCTTGGGGCCCAGGACCATGAGTCTGAGCAGATGGGTTCTTTTGAGTAATGATTCAAATGTTGGACTATCTGACACTCCAGCCTCTTCCCCTTTGCAGAATGAACTGGACTACCCTTGCGTTCAGGGTTCAACATTGAGGATTCCTAACACTGCCCAAAGTACGGTTTTGTGGAACAAACTGCAATCTTCCAATGCGTTAGCTTTCAGCCAATCAACAAACACAGAGTATCACTTGTGTACAAAGTTGCAGGTCTTCTTTAGACGTGATTTTGACCTCTAGGTAATGAAGGACCTCCCCACCCCAAGAACATCAGGATAGTTATGGGGAGGCTGAGATACTTGGGGCAGACCCTGCTGGCCTGGGGAACCAAATGAGTATATTGCTGCTGGTTGGGTTAAAGTCTTGCTCTGGTCACTGGCTTAGAGGAATATCTCTCTACTGAATCACTGCATTCCTTCCCTCTTTCGCTGGCCACTCACCTCTGGGGCATTCTCTTGTCCCCTTTCTATTTCCCTTCAGGATGTGTCCAAAGATAAGTTTATTACGGGAGGGGGGACGCGGGGGG